TGCACTTGTTGGGAAATCAGTTGGTATTGCTATTGTACTTGCGGACATGGATTTTGATTGTGGTCCATGGTGGTGAGGTCTGATATGCTCAAAAATTTGTTTCCTTGTTTTTGAAATAAATAGGCTTTAGTAGTAAATTGACCCCAAAACTATGCCCTAGTTTTCAGATCGGTACTTAAAAGTGTTTTTGGTAAGAAGTGGTACCTAAAGTATTAACTTGTTAACCCCCCCCCCCAAAAAAATTACCAGCCGATAAGAATGTGGCACGTGGCATGTTCTTATTGGACACCATACACTTTTGGGGGTATATGATATAAAATGATAGTTTAAGTACTGCTTCTGACCAAAAAAAGTTGTACCAATTTGAGAATTGGAGTATAGTTGAGGGACCAATTTTGTTAGTAAATTTAAATAAATAATGCCAAAAGTTATGAGTCTGCCAATCATTGTTCTTCCTTTCGTACCAATTTGATCATTTTTTTAAATTCTGTCATGTTCGACTTTGCATATTTATATGTAAATTCTAATTACATTAACCTATGAAAATTTCTACTTCATGCCTTTCTGAACTACATGGCACTAAAATTTTAGCAGGGTCTATCATGGATGGCAATTGGATAATTTTTTATGTTATTAACTTGGCCCAATTTTAATTGGTTGTGTCAGACTGTCAGTTAATACCTTATATGATAATCAAACCTGACTATATTTTCTTTTTTGTGTGTATTTTCGTGTTATTATGGTAATTATATGCCTGCCTATTTTATGTCGCTGGCTTCTTGAAGTTCTTCAATTTTTTTGAGTTCTTAAATGTGAAGAGACTAATATGTTTGGAATTAATTGTTGGCTTGATTGGATGCCCACTTTAACCTGTTCCATTTCTGATTCATATTTGTTTAAATTGTAAACACATAGGTTTGGCTTCTAGAAATTCGCATGTTTTATGATCTGCAGTGGCCTATAGGCACAATGGCACTTCTCTCTTGTTTTGTTTGCATTCATGATGCTTTCTATCATATTTCTATCTTTTAGATGCAACTTGGTTTCATTCTGGGATTATTTGGCCACATTAGCTCTCTGCAACCTCACTGGTTCTAGGCATTCTTTTTTTTTTACACAGGCTCTGGGTATTCTGATATAATTCACAAGTGATTCTTTAATCAGCCCAAATCTCATATAATATGACATCTTAGCTCATAATTAAGAGGCGGGGAGTCAAATATGGCTTCAGAGCTCAGCTTTGTTGCATGACTGAATAAGAGGAGAAAATACAAGCGCAACTTCTATCATTTTGTTTGGTTCCATATAGTGAACTTTTCACCTTCTTTACCTTCACTAGCTTTAAGATTTTAGTTGATATTGCTACCTGTTTTCAGTTAGTGCCATATTTGCTTTCACATATCTCCCTTCCGCTCCAAGTCTGTATGCACACACTCACATTTTCTGCAGTTGGTGCAGAACTTTAAGATCAATTTATCTCATTGATGTTAGGGGCTTGATCCATCTATAAGACCAGAAGTTTGGGAATTTCTTTTAGGTTGCTATGCATTGGGGAGCACTGCAGATGACAGAAGGCAATTAAGGACAGCCCGGAGGTTAGTCCTGTTCTTTTCCATTTTATATACTAATAGTCTTTTCCTTGTAAGTCCCTTTCTTAGGTTGTTCTGCTTGCATGTCAAAGTAACTGAATATCTTTTTTCAGTTAAATAATCTTATGTGATCATACTTATTTGTCAACCATGGTTAGCTTTCGATCAACATTATTTTTAAGAATTATCTGCACTGTCCACCGTTTCTCCTCTTTCTATTGTCAGCAGATAGACAAATATGCTCAGTCATATGTAGGAAATAGCTATCCAAGCAAATGACTGAAAGGTGTCATTTGTTAGAGAAGTCTTATTTGTTTTGGTATGAGTTATACCAATTAGATTACCTTTTAAGAGGCTCATTTTGGAAAGGATTATAATTGTACCCGTATTATCTTTTATTATTTAGGGATAATGTTTGTAGTTTATCCTTATCCTCTTCATCTTCTATTGCAAGCTATAAATTCCTTCACATGCCAATAACTTTAAACACGAAAACATACTATGGTTTTAAATGCCGGGGAAAGTGCTCAAATTGCAATGCATTGAGAATACAGCTAGGATACTTGAGATACGTTTTATGCTTGGCTAGGAGGAGGATACACGTCAGAACTATTTAAGAAATATATATACACACATATATATTCATTTGGGAAAAAGCTCTCTTGATTAAGCATTTGTAGAGATGCATGCTGTCTATGCTTCCAGAATTGATGACTTTTTTATTTTAATAGTTGAAATTTTCTTTTTAGAAAATTTCTCAAGAGTGCTGGGAATTTGTGTATTCCATTATCCTTTGTTCTCAGATCAAGGCTCTGTTTTGCTGAAATCTAGATATTTAACAGCTGTATGGAAAATATGCAGGGAATGCTACAAGGACCTTATAAAGCAATGCCAGGCAATGCATTCAAGCATAGGCACTGGTTCACTTGCATATCCTGTGGGTTCAAAAGTTATGGATATGAGGACTCCGTCCAAAGAAGTAAAAGTTAAGAGTAGAGAAGCTTCCACTGATGGTACTGGTAAAAGAGAGAAATATTCCGATTTCAGTAATTATTGTTCTGATAAGTCGTCTGCTGACCAAGACTTGAGTATTTGTAATTCTGGTGACCTTACAAGTGTTAGAAGAAATGCTGAGAGTGCTGCATATGATTCTTGTTCTTCATCAACTTCTGGTCCATGTGGTCCTTGTACCACAAAAAGAGGGGGAGAATGTAATGGGTCTGAACTCATAACTGAATATGATTATTATTTTCCTTCCTTACCAGTAACATGATTTGTTTAAGAGTGAAGATGAGAAAGAATTTGATGCAGAGGAAGTGTATTCTGCACAATATAACTTGATATTTGAGGATGATAATATGCATAGTTTTCAAATCAATAACAATGCTGATTTAATCAGAAATCAAACATTACATCCTCACTTTCTAAAAATATCTCACATCGATATAACACTGAAATTGAATTGGTGGTGTCACACCCCTAACTCGTATCCGACCCGGATACAAATCCGGGATGTCACATTGACTTTTCAAAACGTTTACTTTTACAAAATCTCATAAAATTTAAATATTTTAATAAAAACACAGTATAATAATTTACATAGATTCTATCCAGATGTTTACAAAATCGATCAGAGCATTTATAGCTTTAAACGGTAATTACATACCAACATAGTTACTATAACAAAAGAACATACTGATGTAAATCACTTCTGATCTGATTGCTTTAAAGGATATGCTGCCTTTCTAGACCTTAACTCTGGTCTTCCTGCTTATTAGTACCTACGTGTAAATCACTTACACGCTAAGTCATAGACTTAGCGAGGCATAATAGAATATATAACAATGAATTCATGAAACATGCACTATTACCATTTGATCATGACATTACAACTTGCAAGTATCTACTAAACGATAACATATACGATCATGTCATGCACATATGAAACTCATTTATCTATACAAGTTTCACTTCAATTTGTCTTTGGATTACTAATGTACATTATTGAGAACCTGAGGTACTTGAGTACACTGAGATTGTACACAAATGCTGTCACCACAGCTCGAATAAATTTCCACTAGGGGCACTTAACACTTGTCCCGAAGGACCACTTTATCCCGAAGGACCACTTTATCCCGAAGGATCACTATGACCCATAGGACCACTTTATCCCGAAGGATCACTATGTCCCGTAGGACTACTTTTAACCCTCGACTCTTGGCATTAGGGCTGTAAATGAGACGAGACAGATCGCGAGCTACTCGGGATCGACTCAATCAAGGCTCGATAAATACTCGGATCGAATGGACTCGAGCTCGACTCCAGTTCTTAACGAGCCGAAACGAGCTACTCGATATTCGACTCGAAAAAGCTCGTGAACAACTCGAAAAAATGTTATATTATAATTTTAGATTTTTTAAAATAACATTATTAAAAATATATTAAAAATACACTATTGATAATTATAAAATTTTAAAAATATATTGAAAATTCTATAATACAACTACCTCAAATTTTATTTTTTTTAATTAACCAACCCAAGTCCAATTGTTACATTGTATATACTAAAAGAAAAATAAAAGCCCATTTAATTAAGCACATGTTAGATTACACGTGTTTGGTTGATTTTTTTCTTTCTTTTGTAACTTTTTACTACACAAGTACTTGACAACGTAGAAAAATAAAATAAAAAATAAGAAAAAACAACCAAACAATAGAAAAATTGAAAATGGTTAAAAATTATTTTTGAATACATATTCTTATATTTATTTTAAATTAATAAAAAAATATTTATCTAATGACAAATATTTAATATATTTCTAATGATAATTTTTTTAATAACTAATTTTTTAAATTGTTGTTATATTTTGAGGTTTCGGGTTCAAATATCATAAATATCAAGGGTTTGAACATTTAATATCAAGATACTATATTGTACTTACCTCATAAATCGATACCAAGTCGATTAATTAATGTTTTTGTAATGAACCCTAAACCCTAAACTATAAACCTTATATCTTAAACCTTAAACCCTTAATCTAATTATATAATAGGGGTTAAGTTATGCACATGAATGTAATATACAAGGGCTAAAAATATTAAGATACTATATTGTACTTATCTCATAAATCGGTACCAAGTCGATTAATTAATATTTTTGTAATAAACCCTAAACCATAAACTCTAAATCTTAAATCCTAAACCTAAACACTAAACGCTAAACCTTCAATTCAAAACTTAACCTGAGGACCAAATTGCATTAAACCACAACTAGGCGGAGTGCTCTCACAGTTTACCCCCCAACTCGGCTAGAGACCAATCACCCTAATTCAAAACGTCGCCGTTTTTGACGCATTTAAAAACCTTATTTGGGTAAAAATGAAACCCTAAGCATTTTGCTAGACACCTTCAGCCGCAATCTCCTTCTCCACTTCTCTCTTTTCCCATGAAACCTCTCCTCATCTTCGGTGGTAACCCTCCCTCACCACTCATGCAGCGCCGCTCATCGGCACTCACCAGCTCGCCAGCCACCAACTCGGTGGCCACCTTTCATTTCGATCGCCCCCACATGCATACGAAAGAACCCCAAAGAAGCCCAAAGATGCTTCTTTTCTCAACCCTTCGGTTCGGCCGAGACATCAAGAGTCTCAAACCCTCTCCGATCGACACCCTAAACCAGATACCTAAACCTTTCGAGAACTAAACGAAACCAAGCTCGAATCTAAAGCCCCGAAACCACAAAAAATAGCCTCAAATCATAATCTGAAATAAACCCTAAACTTACCTTTAAGAGGCGAGGTCTCACCTTCGATGGATACGGGATTTCCCTTCAAACGACGAGAGGCTCTGTTTTGCTCCGGTGGCAGTGACGATGGCTCATCCAGTTACTCTCCAGTTTGTATTTCTTGGTATTTCTTTGTACAGCTCAGTTTGGTTTGTGTGCTATGTTGATTTTTTTTTTCTTTTCCCGTACGTTAGTTTGTATTGCAATGTTATTCTTATCTACATGTTTTTGAGAGCTAATTCCCAATCGGATTTTAGTGAGATTAGCATAACAGTTGGAATCGGATATTTATTACTTCATGTTCATGTTCTCATCCCTATTTTATTTTTTACCTTCTGATGATATAATTGACATCACTTGTATTTTTGGGTGTAGCTGGTGAGATGCTTCATGTTGCAGAAGCCTTTATTGAAAAAAATTATCATCCAACGGTAATTTGTCGAGGTAATATAACTTATAAGTGCTTCTAGATTCTTAGCTTCTGCCTTTGAATCATAACTTGGCATTTGATGAAGAGCCATTTCTTTTGTAGCATACAATAAGGCTTTAGAGGATGCTATTGATGTACTTGACAAGATTGCAATGTCTATTGATGTGAAAGACCGTATGTTTCTCCTGATATTTGTGTAGGTAGTATTTGCATATTTAATTTCTTTGGCATGCTTCACATCATAACATGTGGATCCGAATAACAGGTTCAACAGTGTTGGGGCTTGTGAAGAGCTGTATAGGGACAAAGTTCACTAGCCAATTATATTGGTTCCTTGCAGACAAAATGTGAATAAAAACCAGATCTCAGTCCAGAAACAGAATGTCTCTCGTTTGGAGAAGACCTGTGATCTGATCAGAAATTTTCCAGAGTATCTTGATGTGGTTGTGAATGCTGCAAGAAAAACTGACGGTAGACATTGGGCCGATCTGTTCACTGCTGCAGGAAGATCTACAGAGTATGTTCTTTAGTTCTCCTTTTTCAATTGTCTTTCCAGTTGACAGATGCAAAACATGTCTGAAAGATGTCGGACATATATATGTGTGTGTGTGTTATTCTTCTTCCTTCTGTAGTGATTAACTATGTTTGGATAGATTTGACCTTCTCTTGACTGAGTAAACATAGGGCATTGGTTGCATCATCATTCTATTTAATTAACACACCTTCATCCTTTTTCCTTCCAAAAATTGCCCTCACTAATTTTATTGCAAAAGGTTGTTTGAAGATTGCATCCAACGGAGATGGTACCGCACTGCAGCATGCTACATTCTTGTAAGAATAATTCTCCTTGAAAATTTTAAATTTGTTCTAAAAATTTCATGTTTTGTTTTTTTCCTTCCAAAAATTGCCCTCACTAATTTAATTCAAGCATAGAGCCTGTTTCAAAGCATGCTTTGGGTTCTTATACAATTTAGCAGTTATGGTCAACCTCTAAGAAGTAAATTTACAGAGTTTGCTATCTTCCAAGAATTATGTATCTCTTCCCCCTTAGATGTTGTTGGAAAGCTATGCATGAGAAGCGAGGGGACGTACTCTCTTATTGCATGTCAACTTGTATAAATTTGGATATGTTGTCATATTTGTCATATTTTTATAAATTTAGATGTGTTGTCATATTTTGTAAACTTTCAATACATTTGAAGTTTTAGGGTAAGCTTCTTGCTTTTGGTTTCTGTTCTATGGTTGATGAGGATTTTCGCTCTAAATGGGTTTTTTTTTCCTACTGTTGATGGTTGATAGCCTTTTCGAGTTATCTGGTTTTTATCTCGTTTTTGTTTTTTGTTTCTGCCTTTTTTTTCGTTGATGGCTAATGGTTGATGGGTACCTCCTATTGTTGATTCCTCTTTGGTTTTTTGATGGCTGACCTCTCTCCCCTTTTCTGATGATGATCGAGACTATATCCTTGATATTTTCTCTCTACCTTCTTGTTGTGCTTGGTGCTCTGCCCCTTGTTTTGTGTGTCTGCAGGGCATGGATTCGAGCATGGGTGACAACAGCATTAGTTTTGGTGGATGGCCGATCAGCAATGGTCTTCCTCGGTGGGTTTACGTGGGTGGTGCACTGTCTCGGGTTTCCTCCTGTAGGATTTGCACCATATGTTAATATAATAAACATGAGTAATAATAATACTAATAATTATTATAAAAAAAACTTCAAAGCTTATATTAATTATCCTAAATTTCTTGTAATTGTATTTTTATTTTTTAGATTTTTTATAGTTCATACATTTATATTATAATGTATTGGTGATGGTTGATTAAAGGGAAAATTATTTTATATATTTTAAATGTAATATAAGATTTTTGTTGATTTAAACTCGAGTTTGAGTTCGAGCTTGAATTGAGTTCGAGCTTGAATCGAGTTCGAGTTTGAATCGAGCTCAAAATCGAGCTTCAATCGAACTCCTTAATTTTTTTTGAGTTCGAGCCTTTTCGAGTTCGAGTCGAGTTTCAATAATATATTTTGAGTTCGAGCTGAGCTTTATAATTTTTAACTCACGAGTTTTCGAGTCGAATCGAGCCTACGTTTAAGGTTTTCGAGTTCGAGTCGAGCTTAGCAATACTCGAGTTTGACTCGGCTCGTTTACACCCCTACTTGACATGCTAATTATACCTATAATTTTGATAGTATATGACAAGGGCTTGATATGGATACATTTCTTATTTTCATATATCAATTATCACTTCTCATATAAACATTTCATTCACTTCACTTATACACATATGACCATTTTACTTATTTCACATGCTTGAATTTGTTCTCTAATGATTGCATACATCACATATCATATCATATGAAATCATTTAAGACTTATGCAAATACTTACTATAATCATATCATATACATGTTTATGAAAAAGGAAATCATGAAATGAAATAGAGGAATAGACTTATTACAAGTCTTCTTTCCATAAAACCATATCTATACTGATATAATATGCACTCACTTTAGCATTGCTTGATTTGAATCAATTCTCGAACTTATCTCTTTCTCGATCGTTTCTAATTCCTCGATTGTTCCTAAATAGAGTTATGTTCACTATCTATATAATCATACATTGCTACATATCAGTATTCCAAATAACATACTCTAATCTTTCGTTTCTTAAACTAAAGGAAAAGTCTATTTTAAATTTTCATTTGAAGAGGTATCGGTACATCCTATAGGGTATCGATACATCCCTTAATTGGTATATCGGTACGCTGCCTATGTATCGATATACAAATTACATTCAAAATTTTTTCATTTAAAGAGGGGTATCGATTCATTACATGTGTATCGATACACTTATTGTATTCGATGATTTTTCATTCAAGGGGTATCGGTACCTATTGAATGTGTACCGGTACACTTTGCCCAGAAATCACTTTTTAAGCCCGAAAATTCATCATTCTCAGCTTAAATTCCTCATGTTTCATTTCCTTTCATATTCTTAACTCAAGTATAAATACTTAAACCAATTTATATTTATTTATCACATCTTAAACCTCAACATCCCATCCTCCACATGAAATTCAAGAATCATACCAAATTTCCAACATGTTCTAAAGCCAATTCTAACACTTTCTATTCTTTAATTAAGTTAATAACAAGTCAATTCCATACTCAAACTTTATTTATTAACCTTTTTTCAGAAATTCATTTAGAAACTCATTCTCTTTAATCTTTCATAACTTCTTCATCTTTTGATTTTAGGACAAATTAAGCTTTTCCTTAAGCTTAAGTATCACATAAGGATCAAAACTCACACTTAAAATCAAAAAATAATCAACTAACCAGAAAACTCACCTTTGCTCTGGCTCTCTCGTATGAAGGAAGAAGAAGAAGAAGACTCTGGAAGCTTATTTTGCTTTCCTTCACTTCCACGTGGGTTTCTCATCTTATAAAGGGAAATAAAAATCTTTCTTGTCAAATAACCATTTTGCCCTTCTATTCATCCTTTGTTGCAATTTAATCCTACACTAAAATTTCCATATAAATCCCTAAAGTTTTCAATAATTTCTACTTTAGTCACTAAATTTTAAAGTTTTATAATTTAGTCACTAACCCGGTATTGAGGATGCTACAAAATCTCCCCTTAAGAAAATTTGTCCTCGAATTTTTATTGTACAAAGAGATGGGGTACTGATTCCTCATATCCTCTTCACGTTCCCATGTTGTTTCCTCTATCTTGTGATTCCTCCACAACATTTTGACCAATGGTATAGTCTTATTCCTTAGTTGTTTCACCTCATAAGCTAATATTTGGACCGGTTCTTCATCATAAGTCAGGTTAGGCTAAACTTCTATCTCTTTTGACGTTACAATATGGGATGGATCAGACCTATATCTCCGAAGCATTGAAACGTGAAAAACATTATGAATCTTCTCCATTTCAGGTGGCAAAGCCAATAGGTATGCCATTGGTCTCACTCTCTTAACGATCTCATAGGGTCCAATAAACCGAGGACTAAGCTTTCCTTTACGTCCAAACCTCAATACTTTCTTCCACGGAGACACTTTCAAGAACACTTTATCTCCAATTTGAAATTCAATTTCCTTCATCTTTAGATCCGCATATGATTTCTGTATATCAACTGCAGCTTTCAGATTATTTTGAATCACTTGAACTTTCTTTTTTGTTTCCTGAATCAACTCAGGACCAAGAATTTCTCGATCCTTAAGCTCATACCATTTCAAGGGCTTATGACACTTTCTCCCATATAGAGCTTCATAGAGAGCCATTTTGAAACTTGATTGGTAGCTATTGTTATAAGCAAATTCGGCAAGTTGTAAATATTTTTCCCACGATCCCTTAAATTATAATACACAATCTCTTAACATATCCTCCAGAATTTGGATAGTCCGTTCAAGCTGTCCATCGGTATGAGGATGAAATGTTGTGCTAAAATTCAATCTAGTTCCTAACGCTCCATGCAAAGCTTTCCAAAACCTCGATGTAAATCTAAGATCTCGATCAGAAACTATGAATATAGGCACTCCATGCAATCTAATAATTTCTTTAATATATAACTCAACATATTTATCAATGGAGAAATCAACTCGCACGAAAATAAAATGAGCTGACTTAGTCAATCTGTCTACAATCACCCATATAGAATCTCTTTTGTTAGGAGTTAAAGGCAACCCCGTTACAAAATCCATCGTCACATTCTCCCACTTCCACTGAGGAATATACATTGGTTGCAACAGTCCTGACGAAACCTGATGCTCAGCTTTAACTTGTTAACAAGTCAAACACTTAGATACAAATTTCGTAATGTTCCTTTTCATTCTAGGCCACCAATATCGACTCTTGAGATCCATATACATTTTGTTTTCTCCTGGGTGCATCTTCAATGGACTACAGTGAGCTTCCGTTAATAGATTGTTGAGTTAATCGTTTGACGAAATAGTCAAGAGGGGGTGAATTGACAATTAAAATTTTTGTGGAAGTTTTTACAGAAAATAGAAAATATTTGCACAGCGATTTAGAGTAGTTCGAATTTCTCAACCAAATCCTACGTCCACTACTTTAGTTATCCACGCTAAGGATTTTCCAACAAATTCACTAATTTGTTCTTTCTTTTGAGGACAAAGAGTAACCATACAACTCCTTCAAGAATTATACCCCAAATTCTTGAGCACACCCTCTCCCAAAGAGAAATACACAAATTTGCAAACTTACAAGAAAAACCTCACAAGGTAAGATGTTTGCACAATTCTAGAACAAAGAAAGAACACTCAAGAATGATTCAATTGAGCACGATAAGTGTTCTTGAAAGCAAAAATGAATATTGAAGGAAATAGGCTTGAAAATGCTCAAACCTGAGGTTTGGTGCTTTCTCTTTGATTCTCTCTTGATTCTTGATAATTGTTGTTGATTAATGACTTCTAAGCTTATTTAAATACTCCTTGGATCACTTCTGAATGTTGGGGATCATTAGTGGAGTTAATAAAGCCGTTAGTGTGTGAAAACAATTAATAAAGTTAGGAGCGTATGGTGCATCGATGCATAGGCTTTGTGCATCGGTACACTATGTGTAAAATTCAAATATTTCGACCGTTGGAAGACTTAGTGCATCGGTACACTAGGGTGTGCATCGGTGCACAAATTTACTTCGATGTTTCAAAAATAGCCAGGGTGCATCGATGCATGACATGTACATCGATGCACAAAATCAATTCGATGTTTTAATAAAATCCAGAGTGTATCGATGCATGGCTGTGCATCAGTGCATAAATTGCATTCGAAATGGGTGTGCATCGATGCATTAAATGGGTGCATCGGTACATCCCTACATAAAGTTGATTTTTGGCTCGTTTTTGGTTCGAAATACTTTGTGAAAATTGTTTCAAAAATATTTTAAGTATAAAACACAATTTTACACTTTAGTAAGGATTGAATTTGAACTTTGAAAGACTTGGAGTAATAATTTTGATATTCAAATAATTGTATCGAATATACTTAGAAAATCATTTGTAAAATCTTAAAATTCATTTATCGTAATTTGTTATATCGAAACATCAAAATGTTTTCAACAATCTCCCTCTTTTTGATATAACAAAACATTTTAGTAATTTTAAGATTTTCTATGAAAATAATTTTTGAAATCAATTTTGAAATACTCCCCCTTACTATAATATATCTTCTCCCCCTTTTTGTTAAATAAAAAAAGACTCTAAAACGATTTTAAACAAGTTTGTAAAAGATGGCCAATATTTTTATAGATATAGCTTAAGTTGCTAATACTACAATCAAGAGAAAGATTAACCATTAGTTTCATAATTCAATATTCATAATGTGAAGTGGCAAAATTGGTCATAATGCAACTAATATGTAAATGATGCAAAAGTTAATAAACATTAAGCTTAAATTGAAAATTCAAACATACTAAATATATATATAATAAGTTCAAACATCCAATCATCCAACAAATTCAAACATCCAAAATAAAACAATCAAAAATGTTTCACAATTTAAAGTTTTTCGGGGTTCAATTCAAGCAAACTAAAGCAAGGTAGGTCTAGTCGTCCATAAGAGGATCGAGAGGAGGAGGATAATGTGCTCGCACTTCGATTGTGAGAGCATTCATACGTTCACGCATCTCCCGTTGAAACTCAGTTAGCTGAGACTCTATGGAAGCAAACCTTAGATCAAATGACTCCATAA